ATAAAATTTAAACCAATTAATATACACACCAAAATAATAATAATAATAATAATAATAATAATAATAATAATAATAATAATAATAATAATAATAATAATAATAATAATAATAGAATTCACAATCTAGGAACTTACGTCACATTTTTGCCGCTCGACAATTGGCTGGTAGCCGCCGTCTTGCTGGACCACCGGATAGATGTTAGGGTCACTGATCAGTCTCACCGTCCTACGGTGATACCAATCCATGTAACCCTCCTCAGGCTCTAGGAAATGATCCACGGGTTGATGTGGGAGGACATGTTGGTCTCTCTGTTCGGCCCAAGTCTTTCCGAGCTCCGAATGAAACTGGGCCCAATCAGTATATGCCCTCCCAGTCATTCCCTGGCCTCCGTGGCGTGCATTCCATTCGGCCTCATTCTTAATCTGCGGAGTGGGGGGGATGAACTGATAACACCCAAACTGACGGAGGACCCTATCAGTCTCGAGGACCTCAGCGACGTCCCAGCAGAAGATCCACCCCTTGTACTTCCAAATATGTGGATCTTCTAGACACTGTGCCGGGAGAGAAGAAGAATCCGCGATGAACGTTGTATAGGGCATCCAATCGAACTGAAAAAAAAAATAAAAAAATTGAATTAAGAATTAAGTTATAAAAAATCTAAGAACAATAATAAAAAAGATGGGATGAATTTGCAAAACGTAAGAATCTTACATCCCCCTCTCGCAGCCCTGTCAGTTGATCCCGGATAGCGGCCGTTCCCTTGGCTAGGTGTTTCATGTCCTTTTTTCCCACCCACCTTAAAAAATCACAGAAAAAAAAAAAATGTAATCAGAAATTTAATAATAGAAATAAGTTAAGTATTAAATATAAATAAATATTATTCATACCTTGCTCCTAAAGGACAACCACTTATGGAATCAAAGCGTCTCTCCCGGATTGTTGGGCGAACGCGAGGGATACGTTCCCATGCCCAAACCTACACATACGACATATGTATTTTTTTTAATTAGACAATAGTGAAAACAAAAAGTTGAATTTTGAAATAACTACTAAATAAATGTGAAATTTTTATTTAAACAAATAAATATACCTGAAGCAATTGCACACAACCCTTGAGCCATACTTCCCCGGCCCTGAAGGCTTTGCACAGCCCTCTATACAAAAAGGCAAGGACTGCAGAACCCCAGCTGTACCCCTTAATTGAATCCATGTCCAACAGCTTGGGCAACCAGTACAGGCTGACTCCGTTGGCCCGCTGGTCGGGGAAAAAGAAGCTGCCGCAGCACCAAAGTATAAGGGCCCTCGTCCTGCTTTCGTAGACCTCGGCCTCTTCCCCATCTGAGAGCGGTCTTTTGCATTCTGTCTCTAACGGGCCAACATTAAGCCATTGGCCTTTAATGGGCCACGACTTGGGGTCGTAAGTCGGGTCATCTCGATCATGCATTGATTTTAAAAAAACAAAAATTAAAAACAAGCCAAAAATAAAAAACACAACAATGGAAGTATTAAAAACGAAATGATATATGTAAAAAAAATGTTCACAAAAGTATATACCTGGACATTGGGCCGAAACCCTAGATAGTCCTAACACATGTCTCGCCATTGTTGGGGAGTAATATCCTCAGTCGTTCCCCAACAAGATTCTCCATTGACCGGGAGGCCAAATAGGATTTGAAGGTCCTGTAGCGTTATTGTGGCCTCCCCGCAATCGAAGTGGAAGGTGTGCGTTTCGGGTCGCCACCTTTCCACCAGGCATGTGAGGAGGCTGTTGTCTGCCGTTACCCGGCCCATTCGGAACAAGGGCCCAAAACCTACCCTGTCAATCTGCTCCCAGACTTTAACATGTTGCTTTTCCAAGGCTATCCAGAACTCAGTGTCGCTCCGGCGGTTTCTAATACTCCCGTTACGATAACCGTGCTCATCTCGATAGACCGCCATAGCCCGGTGGTTGTCCTTAAGATATAGAAGCGACGGGTCAATGGGACCGGGTTGTACATGGTACCGGCTAGCCTGTGAGGTGGACGAAGATGCCATATTCTACATTTAAAAAAAAAATAAAACAAAAAAACAAACGTCATTACATTCATTGTACTAAGAAAGCATATTCGAAAACAAATATATAAGAAATCATATAACTTCAAATAAAAAACCAATTAATTTCACATCATGCATTTTCACTCGATTATCCACTATAGACACATAAAAAAAATTATAATTAAAAACGTGAAATATAATTTTCACATCATGCATTTTCACTCGATTATCCACTATAGACACATAAAAAAAATTATAATTAAAAACGTGAAATATAATTTCTACGAATTAATTGTGTTTTGATGCTCTTTGATTTAGAGTTAGATATCAATATATTTTATTAGATTGTTTGACAAAATGCAAAATCAGATTCTTTGTCCATAATATCATAATTTTTCTATGTTAAGTGTATATTTAACCATACCTATAATTATATATCCCTTTTCAGTACATTAATAATTTAAAATCTAATTATTATATACTAATTATCAAACCATAATATCCTGATTATTGGTGATAATTATTGATACGGCACGATTAAATCGAAAGCCCTAATTCGAAGGCCCTAATTCGAAATATCCCAAATTGAAAGCACTAATTCAAAGCCCTAAATTGAAAGCCCTAATTCGAAATATCCCAAATCGGACAACCCTAATTCGAAGCCCTAATTCGAAATATCCCAAATCGAAGCCCTAATCCTAACATTCCTAATTCAAATCGAACAATCCCTAATTCAAAGCCCTAATTTGAAGCCCTAAATCGAACAAGCCGTAATTAAAATTGAACAATCCTAATTCAAAGCCCTAAATCGAAAGCCCTAATTCGAAATATCCCAAATCAGACAACCCTAATTCGAAGCCCTAATTCGAAATATCTCAAATCGAAGCCCTAATTCCAACAATCTCAATTCAAATCCCAATCTCCAATTCAACATAGAAACATAATCGAAGAAATTTCGAACAATTCGACAAAATACAAATCCAATTTCGAAAAAAATGAAAAAATTCGTAAAAATTGAAAAATCTGAAAAAATTGAAAAAAATGAAAGAATAATAGAAGAAATTTACCTAATAAACGGGAAGGATGAATCGACGGCGGTGTGGTGGTGGTTTTTTTTTGCTCCTTAGCTGTCTCGATCTCTCGCTCTCTCTCGCTCGCTCCGTCTTCGTTCTTTTTTTTTTTGTTCCTCTGTAAGCTGTTTGCTCCAGCTTCACAAATGCGGAATAGTGCTCCCTAGCAATGGGAGTCCTGCATCTGCTGGACTTGTTTTGTTCTTGTCGAAACAAATCCAGAGTTTTGTGAAATGTAGCGTCTACCAAAGCTCTGCACAGCAAGAACCTAACACCTTTCAGGACGTTGTTGTAACTCTCCGACATGTTCGTTGTCAAGGTGCCCCATCTACGTCTTCCATCTCCATACAGGGTCCACCGGTCCAAAGGAATGTTGAAAAGGTAATTGTATGCGTCGAGATTAAATTCACGAAGTCGCTCTTTTGTCTGTCGAAACTTTTGCTTCGACAACTGCGAACCCAACTCCCAACACCAATCCCGGATTTTCTTACTCCTGAACCTAGTCACCACATTGCTTCGAAGGTGTCGAAGACAAATCCGGTGATACGCAGCGGGTTCTTGCCAATCCGGTAATGATTCAATCGCACTGCATAGCCCCGCATCCCTGTCAAAAAGAATGCATATCTGTGTAGAGCCGCCTACAACATACCGCCGCAGATTCCTGAGGAAAAATGACCAACTGTCTGTGCTTTCTTCGTCGACAAGCGCATACGCGATTGGCAATAGCCGCTTATTCGCAGTCTGTGCTACGACCACGAGCAATTTTCCTTTGTAATGTCCACGTAAATGAGTGTCATCGACGCTAATAACCGGCGGACACATTTGGAAGGTTTGAATCGCGGGACCAAATGCCCAGAACACAAATTTGAATTCTCTGTTTGGAACGTGTCGCGCCATATCACCACCCTGAAATTCCCAATCTACATCTGTGTTTGGATTCGCTCTTTGAAGTTCGACAAAATATTTGTACAATACCAATAATTTCATAAATAAATAAACATCATGACAGATAAAAAACATGTATATTTGTAATTAATTTTTGCTTACTGAGGGAGTTCTGCGAAGTTCGACTCCCAACTACCGTACACACACTCGATTGCTTTTTTCCTGCCGTGCCATGCCTTCTTGTAACTGACGTCGACTTTCCAACACTGCTTCACATCAGCCTGGACCATGTTAATGCTGTACTCCACTTTCCTCTGAATCTTATTAATTATAAGATTCGCAATCATATGGGCGGTCACGTTTCTGTAGTCATTTCTGTCGACCTGTTGCATGCAAGTGTGTTGGTCAGTCCATTCAGTTACTTCCCACAAATCATCACGCCGTTTGACCTTATTCACCCGAGCCTTCCACAGACAAGGCACATCAGCATTCGAGTTGCAGACCACTTTGAATGTCTTCTTATTTGAATCTTTTGTCCGAATCTCCCGCAACCTATCGACGTTCCAAGCCATTATACCCGTTTGAGCTTCTTCCTTGCTCCGGAATACCGTATACAAACGTATGGACTCAATGTCACCATTCCAGAGTGGAATAGCATACTCGTTCGCATCTATCCTGGAGGGGTCCCATTCACCCATTTCGCGGTATATGTGCCGACCACCGCTAGGAAATGGGTGTTCTTCTTCGAAGAACTCGGCTTCACTCTCCTCATTAACCGATCTATCTGATTCGGTTTCTGAGGTCTCGTCTGTGAAGTCATCTTCACCGGAAATAAAATCTTCATCGTCCTCATCCGCCGCCCATTCTCTCGATGTCCCTTCTCCAAAATTAGGTACATGAGAAGTCGATGTACCTTCGACATCAAACGCTCCCCCGTAACAAGGAGTAAAATCCTCAAACTGTGTAACGGGTGTATTCGCCTGCAACGATAAATGCAAATACACCATGGACATACTAGGAAAGTAATAAATCCATTCAAAACTATCGTTATTGAGTATTGCGGGACTCCATGAACCATCAGGTTGGCTAATCATCATAGTAATCTCCTGAATTGTCCAACCTTCTTCAAACTGACATTTTGCATTAATCATTTGTACCAACTGTTCATATGATATTCTCCCCGGAATAATAAATGAACCACTCGGACGATCTTTAAACGAAACAAAATCACTTAACATTTTCTTCCCAAAATGCCAGTACAAGTTAACAAGGTACGGGCCGGGATAAGCCATGTTATACCTGTTGCAAAAATACACTTTCAATTCTAAATAAAATTTAAAACTCAATTTTTTACTCCAACAAAAAAAAAAATTAAAAAAAATTCTCAATCAAATAATCATCCAAAACCTAATACTCATAATCGAACAATAACATAAAATTCATGTATAATTCGAATAAATTGAAAGCTCTAATTATAACCCTAATTTCAAACAACCCTAACCCCAACAACAATCAAACAATAAACAATTGACAATTTACACACAAAATTTCAATCCTCAATTCAACATACACACATAATCGATAAACAATTAACAATTTTCAATCTTCAAACACAACCACATTCAAACATATTATAACAATCCTCAATCTCCAAACAACTCCAAATAATGTAAAAAGTAAAGATAAGCCAATATACCTCGTGCGAATGAATTAATCGAAAATGAGGCTCGTATCGGTGTTGTCGATTCACACCGAGGTAAAGATTGGATCGACTTTTTTTTCCGAAGTTTTTCGCTTCTTCTTCTTCTTTTTTTCTGCTCTCTCGCGTATGAAATGAAGAGGAAAAGAGTTTTTTTTTATATTTAATATTAAAAACGTATTCTGAGAATACGTCCACCGACAGTTTTATTTGTAAACTGTATTCTCAGAATACGTTTTAATTTAAAAATATATTTTTTTTAAATTCTTCTGCAAAACGTATTATGGAAATACGTTTACGGTAAAACGTATTTCCGTAATACGTTTTCTATTTTATATTTACTATTTTTTTATATTAGAATAATATATTTAATCGAAGTTTCATTTTTTTTATTTTTAAAAAAATAGTAGACGTATTCCCGGAATACGTTTTTATAGTTAATTTTTTTTTAAAAAAAACCGTATTCCCAGAATACGGCTGTTTGATTTTGTTCCACACATTTTTTTTTTATTTTTGTCTACTTATTTTTTTTTAAAAATAAATAAACTACCCATTAATATTAATCAATCCAATTGATTAATTTAATATATTTCTTTAATTGACATCTAATCAAAATTAGATTTTGTCAATTAATTCTAACTCTTTAGAAATACTAATATTTGTCTTTATACAAACATTGGTGTGACCTTTTAGGTTCACAATTAATACTAGTAGTGGGTTTACAACTCTTTGTAATTTGAGTT